ACCTTTGACTTTGAGTGTTATTTCAAACGTGAAACCGAACATCCACGAAATACAGCAAAGTTAACGTGGGAAGCCGAACATATCCCCTTGAGTGTCTCTGTTTGCTCCAACGTCCCTGGTTATGATCAACCCAAATGTTTCGTCTCGTCTGGCAGTACAAGTGAAATGATCCAACAGTTCGTGGAATATTTGGTTGAGGTCAGCCGGGAAAGTTATGGATTGTTGCTGGACCAGTTCTCTGACGTTTTTCGTCAAATTGATGAACGAATCAATGAGGTATAATTCACACGTATTAGATTCTTAGTATATTTCTTATCCTTAATATTTTTTCTTATATCTTAAGGTAGGGGAAAACGAGGTTATGGAAGTTGCCGCGGGGGAGGATAATGAGGTAAATTATAGGAAGGTTACATTTACACTTATATTCTTTATATTCTAATATATCTTATGTTTTAGCAAAATACAGAGGAACAGATGATAGAGGAAATGGTGGGATGTTTGATGGGGCTGAATGATGAGGTATATAACATAAGGTTTGAGCTCAACAGTGGTCTTTCCAGTGCTTACCATATGTGTACCTTTTAGGTGAGTGAAGATGTGTGTGGGGTAGATGAAGACGAAGTGGATAAAGACGTTGAAGAGAGAGTAAGTATCACACTCATGATCCATTTTAGCGGTTGTTATATAGATTAGTAGGGATGTGCAAGTATCTTGCTTTTTACTTATGACATCTTTTCATTTATTTAGGATGTGGTCCATCCTCTACTCAAACTCCAAGATAAATTGTCAGAATACTTACAAGAGCTACCAATTCTTGGATTCAACTCTGGTAAATATGATATTAACTCTGCGAAAAACCCCTTCTTTTCACATCTCGTCAAACACGAACAAGTTAAGTTTGTGATAAAGAGGAACAATAACCACATGTGTCTTAAGACTCAACACTTAAAATTCCTCGATATCACAAACTATCTGGCTCCGGGATTTAGTTACGAACAGTTCCTCAAAGCGTACGAGTGCTCCCAGACCAAAGGCTACTTCCCGTACGAGTGGGTCGACTCCCTCGACAAACTCAATCATTGCTCCTTACCACCACGCGAAACCTTCCATTCCACTCTATCCGGAACCGACATCACCGAGGAACAGTATGAGTATTGCCAGGGTGTATGGGACGAACAGAATATGACAACTTTCCGCGACTTTCTCGTGTGGTATAACAACCTTGACGTAGTCCCCTTCCTTGAAGCAATTGATAAAATGAGTAATTTCTGGCAAGAAAGGAACATTGATATGTTTAAGGACGGTGTGAGTGTGCCTGGCTTGACTATGAAATATTTATTTTCAAACATTCCAGGCACCTACTTCTCCTTGTTCAGCGAGAAGGACAAGGATATGTATTATTCAATGAAGGATAATAACGTAGGGGGCCCCAGCATTATCTTTAACAGGTACCACGAGAAAGAGAAATCATTCATAAGGAAGGAAGAAATGCGAGCCAGAGGAAAAGAATCGAAACCCTGCAAGAATGTAGTTGGTTACGATGCCAATGCGCTCTACTTGTGGGCCATCATGCAAGACATGCCAACGGGGCAGTACACAAGACGGTTAGAGGAGGACGGGTTTAAGAAACAGTGGAGTGGAAGTCTCATTGGAAGTATGATCGGACAGAAGATAATGTTGGCAACCCCTCTTCTAAAGTGGTATTTAGAACATGGTTTAGAGGTACGTTTTAAATATTAAAAACTTGTAAATTGCAGGAGAAAATGTTTAACAAATTGTATTATCGTTTTAGGTAACACACGTCTACCAGATAGTCGAGTATACCCCTAAGCCATGCTTCAAACCTTTCAGTGACGCTGTATCGGATGCTCGTCGTGCTGGTGATGCAGACCCCTCCAAAGCCATCATCGCGGACACGATGAAATTGGTCGGGAATAGGTGAGTTTTAAAATCACGCTGTCGTGACGTATTCAAGAAATACTCATTTTTTGTATTTCTATAGGTGAGTTTTAAAATCACGCTGTCGTGACGTATTCAAGAAATACTCATTTTTTGTATTTCTATACAGCTCATACGGGAAGACCATCACCAACAAAGAGCGTCATCGCAAGGTGGATTACTGCAACGATGATGAGGTTTCTGAATTAATCAACTCACCATTCTACCGCCAAATGAACGTGATCGACGATGACACCTACGAAGTGGAAAGTGCTAAGAAGAAAATAAAGTTGGACTTACCACTACAGGTATGTATTGCATGATCATTTCGTCATTAGAAATATAGATTAATAAATTATTCTTATTTTACAGGTGGGGTTCTTCGTGTACCAGTATGCGAAACTCCGAATGTTACAGTTTTACTACGACTGTTTAGATACATACCTTGACCGTTCCGATTATGAGTATTGCGAGATGGATACAGACAGTGCCTATATCGCTATTAGTGGTGAAAGTGTTGAAGAATTGGTCAAGCCTGGTTTAAGAGAGGCGTTTGAGAACGATAAATGTAACTGGTTTCCTCGTTCCGATACAACTGAACATGCGAAATACGACAGGAGAAAACCGGGATTGTTTAAAGTGGAATGGGAAGGGGATGGAATTGTATCTTTATGTAGTAAGACGTATTATTGTTTTGGGGAGAAAGATAAATATAGTTGCAAGGGTGTAAATAAGAAAAATAATGTAATTAATAAAGATAAATATTTAGATGTGCTTTTAAGTAAACGTAGTGGGTCGGGTGTAAATAGGGGTTTTAGGGTTTTAAATAATACTATGTGTACATATGTTCAAGTTAAAAACGCTTTTAGTTATTTTTATCCAAAACGTAAAGTTTTGGAGGACGGTGTGTCAACAATTCCTTTAGATATTTAGTTTGTAAATAGTCAATATATATTTTTCAAAAACATGTTGTGTATTTCTCTCTCCCCCTCTCCCATGCAGAGTTTCAGGGACAAAATAAGTCCCGCACGGGACAAACAGTCCCGCAGGGACACTTTGAGCGTTTCTGGGACTTCTGGGACAAAAAAAGTCCCGTGCGGGACATTTATATAAGAGATGGGAGTCCGGTAAGGTTTTCATTCTACATCATGCCTCGAAAGCGTAAAGACTGTCCGATTTGTGGCAAGAAAAATTTGTTGAAATTATCTAACCATTTAGCAGGTGTTCATGAACTTTCCACCGCACAAAGACAACCTTTCCTTATACGTGCCAAATGTGCACCTTTGGACCTGGAAGTAGTTTTAACTGAATTGTATAGACTCATAGGACGCATGATATAAATAGTGACCATCAAAATATATGATTTCATTTTCAACATGTACTCCATACAGTTAACACACCCGTTTGGCCTTCTCGTGTCTGGGAGCACAAAGTCAGGCAAAACTACATTTGTGAAAAAACTTTTGAGTTATGTTAATGTCATGATAGACAAACCTCCAGAAAACATTGTGTATTTTTATGCCGAGTACCAAGATACGTTTGGAGAAATTCAAAATTTAGTGCCTGGAATAAAATTTGTAAAAGGTTTACCTGATGATATACTGGATAGTATTAATCCCGAAACACGCAATTTATATATCATTGATGATTTCATGGGTGAGAAGGACGGAGTTATTTCAAAATTATTCACGAAAAAATCACATCATGGTAACCTGAGTGTGGTCTACATTGTACAAAATTTATTTCATCATAGCAAAGAACACCGTACAATTTCTCTCAATGCAAGTTATTTATGTTTAACGAAAAACGTACGAGACGCAAGTCAAATTATTCATCTCGCTAAACAACTGTATCCCAGTAACACCAAATTTTTTCAACAAGCCTATCAACTGGCAACCAAAGAGCCCTATTCGTATCTATTTGTCGACCTAACTCCTACGTGTCCCGACGAGATACGGATTCGATCCGGGATCTTTCCAACAGATACGCATTACGTCTATCAACCCAGAGTATAAGAAAGTGGGAACGTGTGTAAAATGGTCATTTGATCATGTCTGCTTGTATGAAGAGGAACTCCGAACTTCTGAAAGTATTGGCCAAGTGTAAACCTGAACTGAGAAAAGCTATTTTGAAAGCGGCTGAAGACGATCTGTTTGAAGCTATAAGACAGTGTCTATTAAACGTTTGGTTTGACACGATTAAACTGAAACCGAAAACAGCTAAAAAACTTGCACCACATTCCAAGCATATAAAGTTTGCGGCTGACAAACGAAATCCTATCGTAAAAAGACTCCGTCTAGTCCAAAAAGGGGAAGGTTTCCTACCATTTCTACTCACTTCAGTTTTGGAACAGTTGTCTAACTTTTTATAATGGAGCACGTCAAGCGATTAGTACTTGTCCCTGAACATATGGCTGAACAGCGAAAGAAACCACTCGCGGCGCCTTTGGCGACACAGGTCAACGAAATAGATTCGGACATGCAAGATATTATTCGACGACAAGATATACCAATTGATGAAAAGGCAAAGTTATACGACCAGAATCTACAACGCTATCTAACCTTTTATGATAAACGAATGAATAAACCTCTCCGAGTAAACGTGACGCACACCGAAAAACCTGAAGAACCTCAAGGAGAACAGCCGAGTGAAGAGACTGAACCTTCAGACGAGATTGAAACAGATATCATGGACAGTGTACCAGCTACTATGAAGTCAAGAGCTCGACAACTCATCAAAAAACTCAAGTCAAATAAAGATCTTGTTGGTTGGAATGAACAAGGCCAGATGGTGTTCAAAGGAAGATCGGTTCCTAGCACAAATATAGTTGATTTGGTAAATGATTCTCTACGTCAAAGCATAGACAATCCAGAAGACAGGGACTGGAAACGCCTAATGTTTTGTGCGTGCCATCCGTGATGTGCTTGCGTGACGCTTGTGCCAATCATGCCATGTGAGTGAATTACTGAATGGCGCCTGTTGCTTCGAAAAAGAATAAAGCGATAGATTGTAGACCGGTACTTGTCTGCTGTTTTACAGCTCTTTATATACTGGAAAATTGTTTAAATAATCTACACCGAAAAGGGAGTTAGGTATATCACATTGTGTGTAAAGTTTATAAACTGTAGTTGCAGGGTTCGAAGTTAGCTGGTGCAAACTTTGCCGGACAACAACAAATGGCAATGGCGACTTTTTTACAGTCAAAAACATTACGCAAGCATTCAAAGGACGTTTTTGGCTTTGTTTGACCCGATATAAGTTTCAAAACGGGACAAGTGCATCCACAGGTCTATATTTGTTCAAAATATGTAAATTACAAACTCTGAACTTTATTTAATTAAACTATAGTTACATGGTTCGAAGTGGGGGCAACAGAAATTGCCATCTTCTAGTTGGCGCAAAAGTAATTTTGGCCGTCAAATTTTCAGTAAACATTTTTGGGCGAAATTAAGTTACCAAATTGATATAAAAAATAGCCTATTCGATAGATTACAATCTTGTGATTACACATATTTTTTGACCAAAAGGTACAAAAATAGTCTATTTTTCAGTTGCAGGGTTAGTTTTGCCAGCAAGTTTTCAGAATAATATGACAATAACAATTGCCGGCTAACGACATTCGTAATTCTGTCAATCAAATTCAGTAAACATTTTTGGGCGAATAAGTTACCAAATTGATATAAAAAATAGCCTATTCGATAGATTACAATCTTATGATTACACATACTTTCACCAAAGGGTACAAAAATAGTCTATTTTTCAGTTGCAGGGTTAGTTTTGCCAGCAAGTTTTCAGAACAATATGACGATAACAATTGCCGGCTAACGACATTCGTAATTCTGTCCATCAAATTCAGTAAACATTTTTGGGCAAATAAGTTACCAAATTGATATAAAAAATAGCCTATTCGATAGATTACAATCTTGTAATTACACATACTTTGACCACAAAATACAAAAATAGTTTATTTTTCAGTTGCAGGGTTAGTTTTGCCAGCGAGTTTTCAGAATAATATGACGATAACAATTGCCGGCTAACAACATTCGTAATTCTGTCAATCAAATTCAGTAAACATTTTTGGCTGAATATGATACCAAATTGATATAAAAAATAGCCTATTCGATAGATTACAATCTTGTGATTACACATACTTTGACCACAAAATACAAAAATAGTTTATTTTTCAGTTGCAGGGTTAGTTTTGCCAGCGAGTTTTCAGAATAATATGACGATAACAATTGCCGGCGAACAACATTCGTAATTCTGTCAATCAAATTCAGTAAACATTTTTTGCTGAATATGATGCCAAATTGATATAAAAAATAGCCTATTCGATAGATTACAATCTTGTGATTTCAAATGGCTTCATCGTCAAAGACAAAACAGGTTAAGTTTGTAGTTACAGGGTTAGTTTTGGCAGTATTTTCTGGAAATAATTGCTGCGTGCGCGATTTACCGATAGCACGATCCAAATTTACATTTAGCGTCACTATAAAATAGAAATAAATGAAAATTTGGACGTATCTACCTTTGTTAGTATAGCCGCTCCACGACTACGATCCCAAAATTCAGATAATACGCTTTTTTTACGATATATTTTGCATCAACTACACGCATTTGCCTTTGTTTTTATGTAAATTTAAAGACTTGTTACCGTGGTAACCAAGTAATTGCTACGTGACAGGCACATCACGGATGTCACGATTTGTCATAATATTTCTAGCTTGTGTTTCCAGTCCCTGTCTTCTGGATTGTCTATGGTCAAAGGAAGAATTTCAACCCCGACGGTTGGGAATTGTTTTCAAAAGTTCTCGGACATTTGAATGTACCCGAAGGTGTTGTGAGAAACGAAAACCGTCTTGGAATTGTTCGCGAATATAAAACCAAAGGTATCCCGGAAAATCTTCCCACCAGCCCTCGAGTGCAGCAAGAAAAGAGGAAAAAACGCAGAGACAATATTAGTAGTCCATATAAATGGTTAAAATAATTTATTTCTTGTAAGAGAAAATTTTACAATAAATGTATTTAAAACTAAATCTAGTGTTTGTACCACTTGTCTATAAAATCACGCACAAGCTCATTATTCCATTCTTTGCTATCCGTAAACATATTTGCAATGGTTGACATTGGAATACGTCTACATCGATGTAAAGCAAAGAATAATGTATATTGTCCACACACGTCTGATGAAGGGGCTTGCAAAATTCTTCTGTTCCATGTAAACGTAGCGCAATGCTTGTCCAAAAATTGAGTAAAGTTCTGATTGTAAAATCCAGGAGCCTGGCCATACGAATTCCAAAATTCCCCTTTGCCATCTTCTGTAAGGTACATTGCAATCCAATGGGATCCGGGCATATCCGATGCGTCCGTGTTAAATATATACCCTCTAGGCCTCTTTCTTATTTCGCGAGGTAAACGATCTGACGGTAAAACGTCCGTAAACACCGTTTTTGTAAATGGGTCATTCTTGAGAATGTTCATAATCTGCAGCGAATTCATCTTCAGTTGTTGAAATCACACAGCACGTTTCGGTTCGCATCAATTTCGATAAGACTTTGAAATTCACCAAGTACCACGATATTTATAGCTGTCTCCAACGGTGTTCCAAATCGACATTCAATTGACACATTTCCGTTCTTAATCGGTTGTACATGATCACCAAGGCATAAGTCAGGAGTGAGATCAAACACAAACAGTGTATAACCGTTTGCATATTCTTCACGCGTTATACCATTACCCTGATTATCAAAAATCTTGTGTGCGCCGGCGTACAGGGTTTGAAAAGCAGAAATGTAATTACTGTCCACTCCAAATTTCAACTGTAGTGGTTTTCCAGGTAAGTTCTCTCCGTTGACAGTGAGACCCATGGTTGTGATATCGTAATTTTTAAAATTGAACGGGTTCTTCGTATATGTACCGTTAAAAGCATCCGCGTCAACCATTCCAATCACGATACGATTTGGTAAACCACCTTGAAATATATTAGGTTGGTTTCCAGACATATTTCCCCGAGGTACGGAGACAACCTTGCAGTCGATCCTGTTGATTGCGTATTTGGCAGTGATTTGTTGAAGGGACTGGGAATGAGCCAGTATAATACTAGGGGCTACGTTAACTCGTCGTACACGAAACAAACATTCCTCGATGACCACTTTGAAATTGGGATCTTCTGCGGATGATACCAAACAAAACGGATCTCTAGATCTCACCAGCTTGATCTTGATTGGAACAGCACCAAGAATATAACGGTCTTGTGCGAATAGATCAGAATGAAGTCTTCCTTCCATGGCGACAGATTTGCTTTCACGTGTATATGCATGGCGTTGTTTTAATCCCGTGTTGACGTTGGCATCTTGTGCGAGCGGGTTTACTGCATCCATCTTTCCAGCTTTATCTTTATAGAACAGTGCTGAGGTCGATCAAATGTGAATCTTTGGCGTCTTTACTAAAGTTCAGGATCGTTTCGATATACGCTCGGTAAGGGTATGCTGTGCTTGATGGGGTGACCAGTTTGTTGTTCAGAAATACTTCAACTTGTGAGAATAATGCATGCATCCAAAGGTTTGAAGGTCCAACTTGAATGTCTGCACCCACATTTCCTCCGGCCGCAGTAGTGATCTTTGCTTTAACGTATAGGTAACTGCTTGCTAAGTCGGTATAAACACCAGAATTTGCAGCACATAAAAATTCTATCGTATCTGAAGAAGATATGCTCGTAATAGGATCAACAGCTTCCCAAAATCCCTTTTCCATTACCACTTGAGTCGGTGGAATAGAAAATAAATCGAGTTCAGATTTTGAGCACATACAGGAGTCTTTATGCATTGTTTCAAGAGCCATGCCACTTTGGACTATAGTTGTCGAGAGATGTTTTCTGCTTCTTGGTTGGACCGCGAATGGGAGTTTTAGCTGGCGCTGCTCTTTTTATACCCTTTTTTCGACCATTTCCGGTCATTACTTTCTTGGCAACATCAGATACTGCTTGTTTTCCTCGGAATAAAGCAACTGACGGTAGTGGCGCAACTGTCAGGACAGTATTAGTTGACTTTAAGAAAGCTTTCGACTTGATCGATCACCATATACTTGTAGACAAACTAAAATCGTATGATATTCCTGAAAGCATTGTTTTGTGGGTTATTGACTTTCTTACTTGTCGCAAACAACGTGTCAAACTTGGTAACGACTGCTATTCTGAATGGGGAACTATTCCATCTGGGGTCCCCCAGGGTACCAAACTCGGGCCGTGGTTATTCGTTATCATGATAAATGATTTGAAAATCCAAGATTCGGAACTCTGGAAATACGTCGATGACACAACGATGTCTGAAATTGTTGAAAGAAACAACGAATCCAACATACAGGAGAAAGTTGATGAACTTACACGACATATTTCTATTGATAAACTTACGTTAAACGAGTCCAAGTGTAAAGAGTTACGTATTAGCTTCAGTAAATCTCCTCCCAATTTCGATCCTATTACCATCAACAATAAGCAACTGGAGGTCGTTGAAAGTGTAAAACTCCTTGGCATGCAGATATCTAACGATCTTAAGTGGAATAGCCATATATCTGTTATTATGAAGAAAGCGAATAAGCGTTTGTATTTTCTGAGCCAACTAAAACGTTCGAACGTGGGCAGTAAGGAACTTATTACCTTTTACTGTACTTGTATAAGACCTGTTACAGAGTATGGCTGCCCAGTATTTCACGATAGCCTGCCAAATTACCTTGTAAAAGACATCGAAAGAATACAGAAACGCGCGATGCGGATAATATTTCCAGCCTTATCATATGACGAATCTCTCTCCGTTGCTGAGTTGGTCCCTCTAGAAGCACGAAGACAGCAACTAACGGACAAACTATTCCAGCAAATTATTAGCGACCCAAGTCACAAATTGAACAAACTTTTACCACCTGTAAATGAATGCCAAATTAAGCTTAGGAAGAAACGACTTTTTAAAAATCAGCTTTTTAAAACAGACCGATTTAGGAATAGTTTTATAACTCACAATGCACTGAAAATGCGCACCTAGTTATAGTAGTAGACAATTATAGTCAACTTATACACACATTGCCATTTGGCTCCAAACTTTTAAAATTTTTAATAGTTATTCTAATAATTTTAAACTATATGTAATTCTTAGCGTAATTCAGCTTTTGGCTGCAATGCTTTGCAAATAAACCATCTATCTATCTGTGATTTAAAAGCTTCTTTTACATTTTTTCCTTGGAGTACATCTTGACCGACTTCTGTGGCTGCTTGCAATGCTCTTTTGCCAACAACTTTAGCACCTTGCTTGAACAGAGGGATAGCATATCTCGCAAGGCTTTTGAAAATACTTCCGATCCCATATCCCCTTTGCATACGTGCACCACGAAACCCAGCGATATTCCCACCACGCTGTTGTCTCAAGAAATGGTCTTTCAATAGTTTAGTATCCACAACTAGTCTTCCGCGCATTTTTAGATAAAGTACTGAGATCTCTTCTGTCTAAAGTGAAGTGTTGCGATTGACTTTCCGAACTCAAATGAGACGTTTTCGTTTTGGTCATTCTTTATATTCACTTCAATGGTCTCAAAAGAATTTACTTTGACCGGTACGTATTGCAAATTACGAAAACTGGCGTGAACGGTGTTTCCATATTCCCCTTCGATATTAACGATTCGTAGTAAAGGTACTTTCACATCGCCCACAAACTGTGCATCAACGATATCAGTATAGACATACATGGAGGAAAATCCACCATTGATATCTGCAGGATAGGGACTCGTCGTTTTCTTTTCAATAAGTGTGTCCTGGTCAAATCCCAAGACCGTTGCTAATTCTCCGGTAAACCACACAGTTGTGTCGTGTTTTACATCAACCAAAACTTTGCGAGAACTACGATTATAACTAAACTTCACTTTCGTTTGTGTTTCTTTTGACATGCCGGCATTGAGTGCTTTTGTTAGTTGCTCAATAGAAGAATATTGTGTTTCTTTAAGCACGACAGTTTGATAAGGGTTACTGCCAATTTTATACAAAAACGTTTGTTGCACTCCACGTTTTAGCGTGCTCCACGTATGTGGGTAATGCAGTTCCGTCAATGCCACTTCCCATTGGCCTGGCAAGACAATGGTTTCGGTCAATTTCACTCGAAAATTTGCCACTGTATTATTTTGAAAATAAGCCATAGAACTATTACTCGGTAACGTGAGATAAAACTGTGTTGTCATATTGAAGACCAACACACAAATGAATACAAGTTATGAGTTTCAAATATATTTATTTCAGATCTTTTACACTCTCTGCTGGTACCCAAGAATTAAAGACGGGTTACAGTCCGTGCTGCGCATGTGCGATTCCTTTTGTTTTGGTAGACTACTTATCTATCGTTTCCATGGTTTCCAGTTCGATTGCGTAATATATGCGCGATTCTATATTTGTTGATACAAGGAGTGGGAATGCACAGTTTCGAAGAAATTTTCAACGATTTGTGACTTTTATGAAGTGAAATCCGATTAATAACAAATCATTGAAACAATATGAGAAGAAGGAAAGAATATTACGCCAACAAGGATGCCTTTAAAGTGGTTTATTTGAAATTCAGTCAAGCGCTTCGCCATGTCGAAGTTTATACTGTCATATAAAGGTAAATATTTGTTTTAAATTTGATTATTTCGTTCTCCAGAGTTGAGACTGGATCTCTAATTCGCTGTAAATTTGTGACAATTTTTAAGCTAGGGCAATTTTATTCATTTACTGTCTGAGAAAAGATGGGATCTCTGAGTTTATAATTCAACTTGTTCGAGACATGTATTGATGTATATTTGTAGTACTTCACCTCGGCTCATGCAGTACTATAGCTTAATTCAGTCAAGGATAAAACTGATTTCATCTTTATATGGTGAGCTGTTATCAAAATGCTACTGGGATTGAGTTATTGGATGATTAATGTTTTGTAATTCATAAATCAGGCATCTCCAGATGAACTTTCTGGTAGCAGAATATATTGAATTTTTTTACATGACATGATTGAACATACTGAATAAAATTTCTATTATGCTGTGTTATAGGTTACCTTGAGCTCATGGAAACATTATAAATTGTACAACACTAACATCGAATAAACATGGTGATGATTGTGGAGATAATGCGGCGACTGTGGTTATAACAACCATATAGTGTTTACCAATCAGAAACAAATTTAAACATAGAAGAAACAATACAGATTGGATGCTGATGAAACAAAGATGGAAGAATGTATTGCCTTATAATAACAATTCACATTACATAAGAGCACAAGTATTGTTTATGAGTTGGAATAATTTGATTGAGTTGAGAATGGTTTAATTGATTGACTTGGGAATATTATCCAGTGCTGGTTGAGAGTCAGAAAATTATGTCCTTAAATATAGCCACCTATAATAAAATGTTTTCTAGTTCTATTTCCTATAGCTACTTTATATATTTCATTATCTTTTTGTATGGATATACGATAACTGATTTCAAGCACCATGTTACATGCCATGTGAACAAAAATGGTATAGCAGTTTTAACATTCTGGCTAAAGTAGTTATCTGGCCAACATTGAGATATACATACTGATAGTTTTGGTCCTAGTTGTTGTAAAAAATTCAATATATAGCATATGCTTTATACCACACTAATGATCAGATGTTCATACTTTACTACAATATAATATAACAAAATGCAATACATGTAATATCATTCATTGTTAAACATCTAATAAAACTCCCAAAACAAAGCAGATGTAAGGATTAGAGAATTTTTCCCCTGACTATGTTACATATGATGGTAATGTTATCTGGTTATCTCCAATAACAGCAATAACACTTTTGTCGGGGTGGCTAATTGATGCTGCATGTGCAACAGATACTGCCAAGATGTGGTTCACACCAGCAACTTTCTACAAGATTTGTATTGTAACTATTGTTCACACTAGCAACTTTCTTCAGGACTGTGATCATGATGTTTTTCAAATAAATGTCACAACAGAAAATACAATTACTATTGTATTTTCATCAATAATGTTCCTACATGTATCATGAGAAGAAATTTGCCAAGAAAATTGCTAGTGTGAGTAAGGGTTAATGGCAATGTTTAGAACATCTGACTCGAAACAATTTCTTGGAACAACAGTATTCTACATATACAAAGTTATCTTGATCTAACAGAGCACATATTTTCTTCCTGTTAACATGGGGAACACAATGTCTACAGTTGCAGCTGTCCAGATTTTGGTGGGTGTAGCCATGAATATGGTGGTGGTGATGTGCAAATTGTCCTCAATTTTTCCATGAATGAAAACCTACAGTATCAATGTTTCAAAAAAAAACATTTACATGGGGTATACCCTTTATAAAGATTACACTATGCATTTTTGAAGGTTCACAAACAATCAAACCATGTCATTCAACATAGTGCATTTTTGTCCAGTGCAGTAGTGATATTAATTTTAATATGCAATCACACAAAAGTGCTATAAAATAGACAACAATGATTGAATGTATGGTCAGCAGGACTGGGTCCCATGTGAAAACCAATTTACGGTACAATCATGTCCGATGTAAAAAAATATATGCTGCTACCAAAAAGTTCATCTGGAGATGCCTGATTATAAATTACAAAACAATAATCATCCAATAACTCAATCCCAGTAGCATTTTGATAACAGCTCGCCATATAAAGATGAAATCAGTTTTATCCTTGACTGAATCTAGTACTGTCAAGGTGATTAAATTAGATTTCAAGTACTATATTAGTCTATCCATGTCTTGAACAAGTTGAACTATAAAATTCAGAGATCCCATATTTTCTCAGACAGTAAATGGATGTAATTGCCCTAGCTTAAAAATTGTCACAAATTCACAGCGAATTAGAGATCCAGTCTCGACTCTGGAGAACGAAATAATCAAATGTATAAACAAATATTTACCTTTATATGTTCGACGGCGAAGCGCTTGACTGAATTTCAAATAAACACACTTTAAAGGCACCCTTGTTGGCGTAATATTCTTTCCTTCTTCTCATATTGTTTCAATGATTTGTTATTAATCGGATTTCACTTCATAAAAGTCACAAATCGTTGAAAATCTCTTCGAAACTGTGTATTCCCACTCCTTGTATCAACAAATATAGAATCGCGCGTATATTACGCAATCGAACTGGAAACCATGGAAACGAGAGATAAGTAGTCTACCAAAACAAAAAGAATCGCACATGCGCAGCACGGACTGTAACCCGTCTTTAAACTTGTCAGGGTAACCCAACCATTTTACATAATACTCTTTACGTTTATTACGCATGCGTGATCTTATTACTTTTTCTACTCTATAATAGTCACTGTCTGATTTGTTGACTTTCTGAAGTTTCTGCTCGTAAAATGTTCCTTCCAGTTCTTCACCGTCATAATCTCCAATCTTGTAAACAGGCGGTCGTCGAGGCACGCGTTTCGTTACCGTGAACACTTCTTCAGTCCAATTGGGCAAGTATCCTTTCTTAAATGTTCGCTTTGTTCACTGCATGAAAAGCGACGTATTCCGAGGTATTCACATGTCTATACGGGTTAGAAGAAAACGCATATTGCAACAGTATTCTGACGTGGAATATTAGTGTGAATACGGCATAGTATTGCAGAGTATTCCAAGCGTGAATATGCCGTGAATATGACACATATTCACCTAATATTCACACTTGGAATATTATAATCTCATCTCATACGTGTTTCCACAACATAGTTTGTAAAGTTAAACATTCCTTTGAATGCTTCAGATTGGAAGTGGAATAGATAACAACATAATAAGAAGTGAATCCCTACTGCAATTTATGATGGAATTTGATGATTCATGATGTCTGTAAACAAATTTCAGGTGTTAGCATATTATGTTTAGCTAATAGCTAGATAAAATACTTGAAAATTCCTTCTCTATTTGGATATCTCCATATCAAAAACCAAACAGATTAATACCGCAAGGCGCACACAAGAAGTCGTGGATAAAATTGTATTATAGTACTATTTATTCATTTTGTTATCTCGTGCATGTATTGTATGGACACCGTAATTTACTAATTTCGTACTTATTTGAGCGCCATGGCGCTCTTTAAATATGATTTTCAATGTTGCAGATGAAATGCAGCGGTTATTTTGCTCGCTCAAATGAGTAAATTATGTCCTTGTAATGATGTAAACATTTTAGTCATTATGCATTCCCTATAATAATTAAAACTTTATGGAAGCATACGATTGAAAAGAAATATTATTTTGGGCCATTTGCATGGTTCAAACCATTCCACTCTATTTTCATGGCACCAGACCAATTTCTATTTCGATAGAAACCTGTATACTGATTGCAATGTCGGACGAATATTTGTCTGCATATTCCTGTGGTATGCCTGTGCGCTATCATTGTTCACAGCTGTCGAAGCATACATTCTTTTTGCGAAAAATTTGAACTGCTAACGACAATAGACCTCCGACATACTTCGTAATGGATAGATTCGCTCTTTGCTTGGCGGAATTCGGATGTGATCAGACTTTGCTCGGGGCATTGTTTACGTTCCAGGTTTCCCGAGATGTAGTCGCACAAATATTTGTTCCGATTTTGCGCTTACATAGTACCGAACAAACATTTGTCTGGTCGATACATTTTGAAACTGGTACGCTTTCGTGACGGACAAAAACTTGTACGGATAAGTGGTCAAATACTTAAACTTTTGTCTGGTAAATGAAAATCTGTCTGGTATCGTGTACACGCGGCCTAAGAAATATAAATCTTTGCATGCATGAATACGACAGACAAGGTGAATGCAATTAACTTTGCGCACTCACCAAATATGGACATGATGACGTCAAACCAGACCCTATGCATTAGTAAACTTATTTGGCGCAAAATCGCGCGCAGTTTATACCGACATCTATGCCTAATAAGGGAGTGTTCATTATTTATACCCGGGGTTGGTACCGAAGAGAAATGGATTGGGTAAGCCATTTTTCTGGGGTATGAAGGGTTGGGTAAATATTTTTTGAACAAAGCCTATGGTTGGGTAAATTATTTTCAATACAAACCTTCAATTGAACAAAATATGAAAATCCTTTATTTAATAAAATGGGTCATTCCAGGAAATATCCATTCATTCCCCACAAAGAAAACTAAACTCCAACTCCCCATCCTCTCTGATTGCAACAACGAGATATGGTAGGACTGAAGGAACTTGGAGCCTTGGGAACATAATATGAACTTGTGAAGGTACAAATGATTATATTTGACATTCAGTTAGTGCACCAAATATGCACAGTACTGTTTATACTATACTGGCCTAGCTTCTATAATAATATATATATATATATATATATATATATATATATATATATATATATATATATATATATATATATATATATATATATATGTAAAATACTTGTATAATTTTGAAATTGGGTTGGGTAAAATAAAAATCCAAGTCATGCAATAGTTGGGTAGGGAAAAAAATGGTTGATCGAAATGGTGGGTGGTTGTTTTTTTCTCTTTTCGATTAGTTTCTCTTCGGTACCAACCCCGGGTATAAATAATGAACACTCCCTAACAACCGTTGTGCGAGAAAAGCCTACTTTAGTTAAACGGCATATTCACAGCCCTAACCAACAGAAAAAAAGAACGAGGACAGCCCGTAAGAAGCGAGAGAAGAGAAAGACAAACCAAGGCGATATCCTTACTAAAAATTCAGGAAGCTCTGGTCAGGGTCAAGGAAGAAGCAAGCCGCCATATAATGAACTTGCCAGCAAATATTATTCGCTGTCGAGAAAGTGCGCAAAGTGATAAAACATCGCATATCAGTTGTGGGATAAAACGTGTAATGCGGTATGTTCATACTGTATAATATATTCTGTATAAATGCCGTACTAACAAAAAGCAAACGATGAAACGATTATATATTTTGTTTTGCTTTGTTGAACTTTGGGCTATATATAGACGCGCGAGTACACTAGTTGACGATATTAACTTAATAACAGATACAGTATTCGCTCAAATTGAATCATGTGCTTAAAGCACAAACTTTCATGCTTTGTTGATTTGCTATAAACCAGTCATGCATTCTATTATTTACCACTGAAAGATTTAATTGTATTTAAGGTTTTCCATCTGCCAAACGGGATGTGTGTTGTCTAATAAAGTATTCCACTCATACAGCTAGCGCTCATTAAATATTAATCCAGAGGCGTACATTATGAGTAGACAAAAGCATTGGCAGCCGGAAAGTATAGTTGTTTCGATAACCCTAATGAGTATTGAGTAACACAAAATGTTTTGGAGTTGAGTTTATCGAGCTACAATATTTGTGAGTTTTTACATAGCCATATTTCTGTTAACCTGGTAATATGCTATGTGTACAAATTACGCTCTCTCTTGAAAGCAAAATTGCCTTCAATTAGACAGAATAAAATAAAAAAGACTAAAAGAGCATTAGGAACATTGTATTTTTTAATGTGTTAACCATAATTAACATCTAGCAAGCCCATGTATTATTTTGTGGCTTCCCAAGGTGTGTTGCTTCGAGCCCGACCACGTGCTAATGTCTCTGAAAGACATACCCAGCTAACACTTGAACATTGTTATTTGCAGGTTGATATTAGCAAATGTGATAATACATGTAACTAAGTATTCTTACGTGTTCAACCATGCGAATTGGCGGACCTCCAAATAGAATCCCCAAATGTAGAAGGCACATATGGAGAATATCATTTGACAGTGCTCTACCGTATCCCCTAGCAAGGAACCACAATTTCAAGAAACCACATTCATATCATTGTGTGCCTCATCTACACGGGATCCAAACAGAGATTAAAACATATTCCATTGTAATGGAGTCTAATTGTTGGACATGGAATACAATAAATGACAGAGTACAGGTTATTATTTGACGCTGCATTTCATGAGCAGAAATTAATGATGATATACATAGGAGATGCTCTGCATCACATTCACAAGACTGAAGGAATACTTGCGTTGCAATTTAATGTCAAATACTGTTTCGGTTTGTAGCCAAAAAGGTTATTTAGTAAAGTTTGGGAAAGTAATTTGTCAAGTCATGTACTGTAGGAATACACAAATGAAGAAATATAATTAAGACAACTTATACTCATATAGCACCAGAAGTTCCCAATTGTAAACAAATCAGTTACTAAACCAAATGATGTCTTTCCAGTAGGTAAAATAATTAAGATTATTGGTGAGGAGATAGGAAATTAGGAATCTTCTTCTCCTTCACCATTTTTAAGACCAAGTCTTCTGGGAAATTAGCCAATCTTGCAACCTT